GGCTGCCATATCGAACAGCACACATACTGAGTATTTTTGTCATCACAGAAAGTTGTGTTAGTGCCGGTAGAGTATCATTAGTGGAGACCGAAGTCAGTGGCTCCAGTCTTTTTAAAGTGTCCCATGGGACCATGATGTGCACTCATAATTCAAAAAGTAGCCCTTTCAAAAAAAAAAAGTAGCCCTTTCACATCTCTCTCCCCAGCACTGTAGGAGTTCAGTCAAGAAAGGTGAGTGGCCCACAGAAGGGGCTATCTCTTTGAAAGTGAGAACCAGATAATGGTGGGGCTGTTAGCAAGACTGACAGTACAGCGGTATAGACTTATTTGACGACACGAGTTAGTATGTGAAATGTCTGTACCAGTTAATAAAGAGCTACTGTTTCAAGCTCCTCCAGTACCTACTTCCTGTGGCCCAGAGGCCCTGGCCATTCACCTAGTATCCTCCAACCTCCCCTTAATCCAGTAAAATGAGTTCACTAATGCCAGTGCTATCCTGGGAGCTGAGAGACTGCTTAGGGACGCCCCCCATCCCAACACTGGAGGTCTCAAATTGATGGCTGCTGCACTTGGCCTCCAGGAGGGACTGCTCCCAAAGACTTTTTCTAAGGGCTGCCTTCTCACCACCATGGCATGGCCGAGTCCCAGATTATAGAACCATTGGCTTCAAGAAGACCTTAAAATTACCTCATCCTACCCGTTCATTTTACTGAAGAAAAAAGTCACAGAGAGTCACCTAGCCAGTTTGTGGCCAGTTTAGAGACAGGAGCTTGAATATCCTAACTTGGCACTTTTATTTTTCTATTTGTTCCTGTTGTCAGTTTCCTTAACTATGAAATGAGGATTGATGGATTTATGCCTTACAGAGTCACTAGTAAAAAGAACACTTATACCCCACATTTTACATATATCTTATAATTTGCAAAATTTTTTTGTGTGTACATTCTCATTTAATCCTCCCAAGAACATGTATGTGAAAGGTGTTAGGCTCGGAGGCTGCGAATGACCTCCCCAAGATAACAAAGCTCCTGTGATAACAGAGGTCTCAGCCTCTTAGGGCTTGGGAAACTATACATTCCTTTGTAAATGTAAGATAACATAACCACATGGTATTACTAGTTTTTAGCTTGTGGTATTTTGCAGTTCAAGATTTAGTGACATTGAAAGTGGTAACTTTGTTCAAGCGACGCATTTTTTTTTACTTTGATAGTGTGCCAATTGCACAGACTTCGGTTCAGCGTTAAAACAGAAGTGGGTTGCTTCAAAGTGTATTTTTAAAATGAGAGAATCCAAATTTGTAATTAGCTTTAGAAATGTTAGTTGTGCAGTTTGAGTATATAAAGAGTTTCTGGTAATCATTTCTGTTATTAGTAGGTGGCTTATTTTATTTTTTGTATTTTCCCCCAAGCAATTAGGCATTTGGGAAAAAACAAAGTATTTCTTTGAGGGGTCATTTCCTCTATTACTGCTTTTATTTTTCACACCCTATAGTCCTAGTATACTTAGAAAATTAACCACATATATGATTGTGGCAAAGAAAAATCATGTAGGAGCCATTCTACTCACTTGACACCTACCTGTCACAAGAATGTTACTTAAATTATAAAGAAAAGCCACAGTGAAGGAAATGATTCACTTCTTGATACATCTTTTGTCTTTTGGTCTTTTGATAATTTTGATAGAAACATCCCTTACTAAGATAAGATTATTGGGAAGATCAACTCGACACACTCCCAGAATAAAATGGAATTTTTTTGTGTGTTTCTTTCTTTCTCTCTCTCTCTCTGAACTTCAGCCGTTTTATAGAATATACTATATTCCACTATTGAGAAATTGAATTTATAGACAAGGAAAAGAGTGACGTTATTTTCACTCCATATAATAAGGAAGTATCTCTTCAGTTTTCTTTTAGACTCATACGAAAATGGTAGCATGCTCTACATCAATTATCCTGTAAGATTAAATACATATAAAGGGAAAAGAGAAAAATTATTAGCCAAAGCTATAAATGAAAAGAAACATGAGGTTGTGAGTCCTGATGTTATCATTACCAATTTGTAGTCACATCTGGGAAGACTGTGTTTGTGTGTTTGTTTTCTGAAGTATGTATTATGGGTGTATCTTTGTGTCTTCTCTGCATATACCCTGTTTAGTGTTACAGGACAGACTCCTAACTCTCTATTGTACTGTAAGAGGTATGGCCTCCCTCCTGTACAGACAGGACTTTCCAAGTGTTTATTATTATCTAGAGTTTCCTTGTGTTTTATTTATGTCATTTCCCCCTGCTTTGGATAGATATTGTAGAGGGTGTTGATCCAAAAAGCATAAAGGTAAAATTTGTGGTTTGTAGCCATACTTGGGGTGATGGTATTAAGAGCCTAGGCTTGGATAGGTCTTTGAAATTCTAAACTTCTAATTTCTCCAAACTTATTAGGGTGGAAGGGTGATTGATGAGTGAGCACATGCTTTCAGATTTTGCAGCTACTGATTTTTAAGCCAGTGCCCTTAGCATTAAATGAGATGATACCCATATCGCACCCAGGACCAGAGCTGACACACTGTAAGCACTCAGAAGGCTTAGTACTCATTATTATTAGCTTGTCTGATGATTTTGTCTTCACATCTCTTTCTGATGGCTGCTGAGCAGCAGCGAAACGTCCAAGAAATACAAAACACCCAAAGGAAGAGAAACCCAAGTCCTCAGGAGCCTAGAAACCGAATTAATCAGCCCACAAATAATTAATAATTTATCTTCTCATGATGACATCTGAATTATTCCCATACCCGCGCCTATACCTTTTTCCAAGTTAAGACCCCATGGACAAGTGACAACTCCGTCATTGCCCAGATGGGATTCAGTCTGCTTGAATGAGGTTCCACTTGAGTGTAAACTCACATTGATCCCATTCTCTCTTGTTGTGTCATAGATAGTGAGCTGTTCACTATCTTCTGTGTAAGAAAAACAAAAATAAAATCTCCTAAGCATGATTATCATTGATTAGAGCTTTGTTAAGATGTATGAGATACAAGTGTATTTTTTTCCATGCCTATGATAATGTGGGTAATTAAACAAATTAGCCAGGCACTCATGCTGTGTTAGGAGTATAAATTGATATAGCTTTTCTGGAAAATCATCGAGACCCTTAAAGATCACACTAGTTGACCCAGTAATTCTTTTTAAGGATCTACCTAAGATAGTATTCAGAAATTCAGGCCAATCTGATATTCAGATATGTCCCCCAAAGTCTTATTTGCACTAACAACAACAAAAACTGTAATTCCCAAAATGAAATCATTACATAAAACTCTTTTCTTTGGGGTATAATATCACATAGACATTGAAAAACATGTTTTTGAAGTGTTTTTAATAACTTGGGGAAATGCTCACAGTCATTTAACATCAAATAAAAAATAGAAACAAAACTTTGAGGGGCACCTAGGTGGCTCAGTCGGTGAAGCAGCTGCCTTCTGCTCAGATCATGATCCCAGTGTCCTGGGATCAAGTCCTGCTTCAGTCTCCCTGCTGAGTGGCAAGCCTGCTTGCCCTTCTCCCTCTGCCTCTGCCTCTCCCCCTGCTTGTGTTCTCTAACTCTCGCTCGCTCTCTCACTCTGTCTCATAAATAAATAAATAAATAAATAAATAAAATCTTTTTTAAAATGAAAAAAAAAAAAGAAAAGAAACAAAACTCTTGAGTATTTTGTGTTTCTGAAAGGAATACTGGTCCACAATCTTTTATTCCCAGTTCTGAATTCAAAAGCATTCCAAAATCAAAAGTTTTGGGTTTTGGAGGGTTTTTTGTTTTTGTTTTGTTTTGTTTTGTTTTTGTAATTTCTTTGGTAGAAATACCCGGCTGGAACTAATGTGAGATTCTATTTTATCCAATTTAATAAGAATATGCATCTGTTTTGCTGTAGAAATATTATGAAATATTTGCTGCTCCAGACCATGATGGAATGTTATGTGATAAATGATTGTTGCACCCAAATAGTTTTAAAATCCAAACAATTCCGAATTCCAAAACATTCTGAAACTTGGGAGTTTCAGTTAAGGGGTTGTGGAACTATACAACGAAATATTATTAGTGATGTATCAGTGCCAAAGTTAGAGTTGATCTTTCTTTTTTCTTTTTTTTCATTTTATTTAAATTCCAGTTAGTTAACATACAGTGTTATCTTAGTTTCAGGTGTACAGTATAGGGATTCAACACTTCCATACACCACCCGACGCTCATCACAACGGTGTGTTCCTTAATCCCCTTCCCGGATTTCATCCATCCCTCCAGCCACCTCCTCTCTGGTCTATTCTCAACAATTAAGTCTGTTTCTTGATACTTTTTCCTTATGCTTTCCCATAGTTTCCAAATGTTCTACAATAAGCATGTACCAATTTATCATCAGAAAAGAGTATTAAAAATAAACATTTAAGGGGCGCCTGGGTGGCTCAGTGGGTTAAAGCCTCTGCCTTCAGCTCAGGTCATGATCCCAGGGTCCTGGAGTCCCTGCATCGGGCTCTCTGCTTAGCGAGGAGCCTGCTTCCTCCTCTCTCTCTGCCTTCCTCTCTGCCTACTTGTGATCTCTGTCTGTCAAATAAATAAATAAAATCTAAGAAAAATTAAAAATAAAAAAAAATAAACACTTAAGGCATCAGAGAATCCTCTCATTTCAGTCAGAGTTCCTGAATTTATCCCTTGCTTCCTGCATATTCTTGTTACTGCAGTTACATGTGTCATCTAAACCAAGGTGTTCTGGTTTTTTGAAAGAAAAACATTCATGAGGTTGAACAGTGACCCACCTCCAAACTGCTTTTGGGTTCAGAAGAGTCCCTGGTTAAGGATACTCACCTTCAGGAAACACTCAGGGAATAGGATTGAGCCCAGGCACTAATCCTATGGACTGTTTTATCATATTCTATTTGTGGTGAGCAGGATGGCAGGAGGGAGGGAGAAACATTAAGGTGCGAGGTTTACTCTGCTAATGGACAGCTCTTCCGCCCCCATTCAGGTGGACACTCACTGACCTGTCACAAGGTTACCCTGCAAAGCTTTGGGGTCCATGTCTGAATGGATTGCTGTAGCCTTCTCATCTCTCCCTTCGCCCAGTTCCCTGCATCCTAAGACTCGAAGCCAGCACAGAGCCTGGAAAAATTACATGTAAGTTTTCACCAAGGTTACTTTCCTCAAACCAAACAACTGTAAGAATTTTCTTAGGTGATAATAGCAAGTAGCCTAAACCCCCATGGGTGACTTTTCTTTCAACAAAGTATCTTGAAAATTCTAATTGAGGAAGGGAGCAGGGAGTAGAATCTGCATATTGGTGGCTCCTTAATTCAGTGGATCTTTCGTTTGCATCAGAATCACCTGGAGGGCTTGTTAAAGGACAGCTTGCTGGGCCTCGTGCCCAGAATTTCTGATTCCGCAGACCTGGGGCAGGCTGGGAAGTTGCTTTGCTAACGAGTTTCCAGGTGATACTGAGGCAGGGGGTCCAAGGACTCCACTTTGAGAATAACTGCTTCAATTCAAGTGTCACTGAAAGGATGGATGATACAGGGAGAAAAAAAATGTATTAAATATTCATTATTAAATGCCACTAAATTAAGATATTTAGTGCTTTACTGAATATATCGACTCATCTCTCAAGAAAAGAGAGTTTTAAGGTCCTCTTTGCACCGTCACATTGGAAAGTCCACACAAGTAGATGCCGTATTCTGTGCTGGCTTTAGTCAATGGTACCAGTGGTTCTTTGTCCTTGGATTTATAACGAGGGTGACTGCGCTGTATCGAGCGAAAATGACAGCTACAGTCCTTTTGCGGGCACGCTCATCGTGTTTTTAGATACTCAAAAGGGAAAATCCTTTTTTCTCTTGGGTTGAGAAATCTATCACTGCTTTTCAGAGTGAATCATTGAGTCTTATCTTTCCTCTCATACACTTAGATGGGACTTGATTTACAAAATGCATGTGGGAAGACAGGTGCATCTCTAATTAATAGTCTGAGTCATCAAGTCCAGGTTTTTGTGGGGTTTTAAGTTCTCAGGAGTGACATAGTTTGAGGATCAGGGTTAGCTTCAGAATAAGCCAATCACCTCTCCACTGAGGACAAGAGCAATTTATTCCATGTTAATGGAAAAGAGTGGAAGATTTTGGCTCAACAAATGTGCATTTGGATATATGTGAGCATACATGCAAATGTACATATGTGCCTATGAATATATATGCATTTTGGATATTTCTAGCTTTCATTGTAAGAATTTTAAACATTTTTCTTTTGTTTCATTGAGTTGGCGTGAGTATAAAAATAGTATGAGTGATGCTGTCCAGGAAATGTATGAGAAATTTCTGGGCATTTTCAATCTGTGGATAAGCATTGTGATTTATAATATTTTACTTGGTATGGTAAATGTTCATTCAGAGTGGCACTTAGGACACGCAGTTCTTTTATTAGAACTCACAGGAATCGAGACTAATTGCTTTTAATAAAGCAGTTCCAAAGCAGACATAATGAAGGAGCTTATCTATTGCCTAGCCATTGGCAGAACCAAAAATCCTGGAGATAGATTTAAGTCCGTGTATTTAAAATGAAAATCATGGGGCGCCTGGGTGGCTCAGTTGTTAAGCGTCTGCCTGCAGCTCAGGTCATGATCCCAGGGTGCTGGGATCAAGCCCTGCAATAGGCTCCCTGCTCAGTGGGAAGACTTCTTCTCCTTCTCCCACTCCCCCTGTTTGTGTTCTCTCTCTCGCTCTCTCTCTCTCTCTCTGTCAAATATATACATTTAAAAATCTTTAAAGAAACAAAGTAAAATGAAAAATCACAGAATCCGATAAATGAAACAAAAAACTGGTAGGTGTTGAAAGAGTTCTGGAAGGAATTAATCCAGAGCTGTCTTGTGGACGCTGCCCACTGCGTAACTCAGCGGGTAAGAGGGCTGATAGAGTTGTGAGTGAGGTAACTGTGTTTTCTTACTCCACCCTCACAAAATATAACATCTCTGTCAAGCACTAATGAGTTATTCTGCACAGCATTCTTGGAAGCAACGTTTTGGGTGTATGAAGCATCTTTGCCATAATATGGAAGAAGTAGATTGGATCAGACCCTCCTTAATTGCCTTCCTGCTTTGGCATCTGTGAGTGCCCATGTTTACACGTCAGGTTTCCTGTAGGGATGACCCTAGATGGCAGTCAGTTGCATGAGTGCAGACTAGGAAGGAAGAAGGCTGTTCGGACACCTCAGGTGACTCACCTCAGGTGACTCGGTGCTTAGAGCTCCTGCCCTACCTGGCAGAACCTGCCAAGGTCACTCCCTGCTGCCTGGGGTGAAGCACTCAAGTCACCGAGTACCTAGAGAGTCATGCTTGTGTGGGGACAGGGGTGGGGAGGTGGGGGGTGTGGGAACCCTCTCTCCTTTCCACTCAGTTTTGCTCTCAACCTAAATCTGCATTAAACAATTAAGCTTATGAATTAAAAAAAAAAAAACTAAACTAAATACCAGACGGTATGGCGGTTCTTCAAAACAGTAAACATGGAATTACCACAGGATCCAGAAGTTCCACTTCTGGGGATATACCTAAAAGAACTGAAAGCAGAGCTTGAACAGATGTTCCTAGAACGTTATTCACAGTAACCAAAAAGTGGAAGCAACACAAACATCTATCAGTGGATGAATGAGTAAGGAAAATGGAGCATGTACATACAATGGAATATTATTTGGCCTTAAAAAGATACAAAATTCTGACACATGCCACAACATAGATGAACTTTGAGGAAACTAAATGAGATAAGCCAGACACAAAATGAAAAGTATTATATGATCCTACTTATATGAAGTGTCTATGGAGTTTTTAGGCTTATAGCCAGAAAATAGAATGAAGGGTGCCAAGGTTTGGGAATAGAGGAGAATGGGGAGTTGGTATTAAATGGGTAGTTTCACTTTGGGGAAAATGAAAAATTTCTGGAGATGGATAGTGGCGATGGTTGTGCAACAATGTGAATATACTTTAAAAATGGTAAATATGTATATATCTTACCCCAGTAAAAAATAATTAGTTAACTAATAATTAATTAGTGATTGTTTTAAACTCAATACCGGAGCTCACTTTCCTTCCAAGAATGTTATGCAGAATAACTAACTAGTGCTTGACAAGGTTACTACAGTTTGCGACGGCGGGGTGAGAATTGTTGGCGATGGGCCTCAGACCTCCCTCCGCCCTGATTCTTTCCCTGGAACCCTTTGGGCAAAGGCAAGGGATCTGCAGAATGTGTACTTCAGTCCCAGGGAGGGTTTTCTGTCAGGGCAAGGACAGGTCTGTCAGAAACTCCCAGAGCAATTTGCCATAAACAGCTGTACTCTCAACCAAATGCCCCTGACACCTACAGGAAAGCTGTTTCACTGCGATGGAGGGAGTGGTGCCCACCTGTGCACCTGTAACGGGGCTGCTCAGTTCATCTGAATTGTGTGTTCCCAAACGAGTCCAAGTATATATCTAGAGCACCAGAATGCACGGGCTTACCTGTGTGCTTCGCTAAGACATGTAACAGGTCTTCCTCAATAGGGACGGACGCTGAGGCACAAACTAGGGGATATAGACTTGATTATAATATTAGCCACAGATTGAAGCCTAGTAGGAAAAGGGAAGTCTATGGAACAAAATTAATAGCAGATAATTCTCCTGGAACAGGACCTCAAATTATTATAATGCCTGTTCTCCAGACTCCAAATGAAATATAAAATACCCCTCATCACCAAATCACTGTAGTTTTAGGTGTCAGTGTACCTGTATCACAGAACAATTTAGTCAGTCCTGCAGTTCTGGGAGGAATATGCAGGATTGAACTTACGAGGTTGATCTCTTTGGACCCGACTTTGGGGAGATTTTGCTTTTTATTCTGTTTCCTGAAAGCTAGACTTGGAGAATGGTCAGCAGAGTCTCATGGGAGCCAGGAGCCATGATTTCCTCAGACCTCCTATACGACGTTCAGATCCTGGCTTGAGTCTGACCAGGGCTTATCATTCCTTAAGAGTAGTGCATAAGGACCCACAGTTCCAGAAAGCTCAGAAACCCATTTCCTAAATTATTCCACGCCCTCTTAAGGGAGGTGGAAGGAATAATCAGGGAATAACCAAGATTATTTGTGTGTGTGTGTGTGTGTGTGTGTGTGTGTATTGCATACATATACGTATGTATATATGTATGTATTTGGCTTAAGGCAAAGGTATAACCAAGAGAGAGAGGAAATTAACTCATCAGTGTTAAAGCACAGTATGTGTAAATCAGCCCCATCATTCCTACCCAGACTCTCCAAACCTGCTTGGAGATAAACTCTCTAGGTCATGGTGAGAGGGCAAAGTAAAGGTTTCAGCAACTAAGATATCAGAAACTGGAATTAAAGGTTTTTATAGAAAAGACAATCTAGGGCAGCAAGTCCAAGAGACAGAAAAGCAAATGTTTCTTCATCCTTGACAACCGCATGTGGCTGCCTTCTCCTTAAGCCTGAGTTGAAATGACATGGCTGTAGAATCAAATCAAAATAAACTCAACCCCATGAGTTCAGAGACTTAATTTTTAGATGGACACAGTGACATGGATTTCCCCCAGAGAAGACCAGCAAACCAAGTCACCCAGATGGAATGACGTAAGGTAGAGAATACCAACAAAGATAGACCCTTGGGGGCTCCCCTTGTAGGCTCTCCTGTTTCCTAGGAATCAGATTGCCTCGTTCCAGACACTGAATTCATGTTTGGTGACGGCTTAGCTACCTGGAACCCAACTAACCAGAAGCCTGAATTAACTGACCTTCACATTTCCGCACCCCTAGTTGATCCCCACCCGCACACCCCACCCTACCTACCGCACACATCCCACTTCCCATTTTCAGAAATAGATATTCAGAAAACAAGATAGTTTTGCTTTAGTAAAAATGGAGAATATACCCTGGGGGATATCTATACCTGATGCCACTGACCTGCTGAATCATTGAGAATGGTTAAATGTTTTAAAATTAGGAAAAGAAACTACTTTGGAAATATTTTGAACAAAAAGCATTTCTTAGCTGTCTGCCAATTGACCAGAAAGTTGAAACAAACAAAAATCTTCCTGTCCTCAAATTAGTCCAGTTAACTGAAGTTTTATTTTAGCTATTTTCATGCCCTAATTAATA